TTATCTGAGAATCTGATCAAAGCTATAGACTCATTGCCCAGAAAAATGAACTTGGCAGAAAACTTTGTATACCACTTCAGGGATTCTCAGATTCTTCAAAGTTCATGCATGGGCCTTCAAATGGTCCATGGACTGATGGTTTTAAGCCCATGAACTAGATCCTAGACCTCTCCAAAGGTCCATTTAATCTTTCAGTTTTATGGGTTTTCCTGTATCAGGTCAGGAAGATAAGACAGAAGGGAAATGACTTGAGAAGACTGCCATGGTTATCTGTGATGTTTCCCAATAGACTGAGCTGACAAAGATTTTCCCAGTCCTAGGACACATACCCTTTCTCGAGTGCCTGAGATGAGATCAGCTTCTTGGAGTTATCAACTTGCTGGCAGGCACACAGAACATGAGGACTGGAGATGAAGGCTAGCTGCGACTGACAGGGATCACGGCTGCTTGCCATTGCCTCCCTTGTCTGTGAAAAAGCTGGGGAAAACCCCAAGGGGAAGGCAGAATGCTAATATTTCCAAATTTCAGCTCAGAAACAGGAAACCTTAATAAAGCTCAGGTTTGACTCAGCTGTTCCTACGGCATTCATTTGGAAGGCTCTTTCTCTGTCTCCCACTCCCCCACTCTCCTGACTCCCATTTGTAGACCTCTGGTCCCCATCTGTTCCTGAATTGCCTTCTGTGTGGACAGACAATGCTAAAAATCTAACAGTAACACTTTCCTCTCATGAAAAGCAGGCACAGTTCTGATCAAAAAGGAAATGCCAACAACTATAGAGAGTGTTATTCGGATAACAGAAAGAGCATCAGGCTTGGTTTTTTTTTTTTTTCTTTTTTTACTATGCAATCAGTATTTTATTAAGTGCAATAGTAACACTTGAAAAATAACAATATACAAAGGAGATGGAACTGTAATTTAATCAGGCTGCAGAAAATGTTTGGGCACATGAGATGCGTACTTATGAGAATTTGACTCATAGGTTAGGGACTAGGTTAGGGCATCAGTTTTATATTTATTTAAACTTAAAAATTACAGGCTTAATTCTTTTGCTTTGCCACAATAAATTTAATTTTAAGAGTTCTATTTTCAAGTGTTGGTTGTATGAAATAGTTGACAGTGACAATATTGAGCTTCAGGAGACCTGAGCTTTAAGTCTGCCATTAAGTATTTGTGTGGCTTTAGAAAACTTAAAGTCTCAAAATTGGGATAAATTACTTCTGAATTGTATTCCAGCCAAATAACCTATGATTTGGCCAGCTTTTCTCAAAATATAGTTTGGGGGAACATTAGCCCTCAATATGGGCTTCCCTAAGGGCTCAGATAGTAAAAACTTTGCCTGCAATGCAGGAGACCCTGGTTCAATCCCTGGGTCAAGAAGATCCCATGGAGAAGGGAATGGCAACCCACTCCAGTAATCTGGCCTGGAGAATTTCATGGACAGAGAAGCCAGGACAGCTACAGTCCATGAGGTTACAAAGAGTCAGACATGACAGGGACTAACATATAAACACAGCCTTCGGTATGTTCCTTCAAAATAAAAAGTGTATTGACTTCGGGTAATCCTATAAACCTCTTCCCATCTTCATCTTATCCCTTAAAGAAGATCCCTTATACAAGTGAATGTATTAAAAGTCATGAGAAACTTTATAAAGAAGGGAGCAAGGGGCTTCCCTGGAGGCACAGTGGTGGAAGACATGAGTTTGGACCCTAATCCAGGAAGATCCCACAGGCGGCAGAGCAACGAAGCCCCTGGGCCACAGCTATTGAGTCTGTGCTCGAGATCCCGGGCGCCCCAACCACTGAGCGCATGCGCCTTAGCAACTGTAGCCCACGTGACCTAGAGCCCATGCGTCCCAGAGCCCCTGCTCTGCCGCAGGAGAAGCCCCTGCGCTGAGAAGCTGGTGCAACACCTTCACTCATCACCGCTGGAGAAAACCTGTGCAGCAACAAAGACCCAGCGCAGCCAAAAATAATAAATAAAATTACTTAAAAAAAAAAGAAGAAGGGAGGAGGGAGCAGGCCTCGTTTTGTTTAGTTTACCATTTCCTAAGTGAATCTGGCCTCAGAAGTCTTTCTACCTTTTCATGGTCCACGGAACAGACGTTGAGAGACATTGCTCAATACATTAGCAAATATGTTGGTGGTAGAAAAGTATTCTCAAAAGAGTGGAATTGTTAGAATTGGAAGGAGATAGATATTCCTAGATAAATAAATGGGAAATAAATGTAAATAAATGGGGAAAGATCTAGCATTCTGTGACCTGAAGTCAATGCTAATCAACTCAAAGAGTCTCCAGTGGATAATTTGACGAAATATTAAACTGTTAACTGGGATCACATACAACTGAAACTGGAAGGACTGGCTGGGAGGGGAGGGGCATTTCCAGCAGATAACCTGGCCACCTTCCACTCTGCAGTTAGCAGCTAGCCAAGCTCTGTGGTGACTGACCTCCTGCACATAATACTTTCAGAGCAGATGCAAGTGAGTCAGACTTTCTAAACTCAGTAAAAGCCTTAGCAGATATTAGTTTCCTAAGGTTACTGTAACGAAATGCCACAAACTGGGTGAATTAAAACAACAGAAATTTATCATCATAATTTTGCATGTTAGAAATCTAAAGTCAAGGTGTCAGTAAGGCCATGCTCCCTCTGAAACCAGTGTGTGCATGCAAGGGTGCTCAGTTGCTCGGTCATGCCCAACTCTTTGCAACCCCGTGGACTGTAGACCACTAGGCTTCTTTGTTTGTGGAATTTTCCAGGCAAGAATACTGGAGTGGGTTGCCATTTCCTACTCCAGGGGATCGTCCCAATGCAGGGATCAAACCCACATCCCTTGCATCTCCTGCATTAGCAAGCAGATTCTTTACCTTAAATTCCTCTCCCTAGCTTCTGGTGGTTTGACCACAACCTCTGAGGTTTTCTGGCTTGTGGCTCCATCACTCTAGTCCTCTGTCTTCACATGGTGCTTTCTCTGTGTCTCTTCTTTCACATGGCTGTAAGGACAACATTCACATTGAATTAGGGACCATCCTGCTCCCATACGACCTCATCTTTATATTTACAACAATTCTATTTCCAAATGGGTTCACATTCTAAGGTCTTGGGGTTAGAACTTCAACATATCTTTTGGGGAGAACACAATTCAATATATAATAAGACTCCAGGATTTGCTCATAAAGATCTTCTTACAGAAGACTTTCTCAAGATTTCTAGTCTTCTACTTGTGGTATTTATTGTCTTCTCATCCTATTTACATATAATTATTTTGCAGGTTATTGACTTTAAACTGTCATCTAGAGTATGATATATCTTAAATTTAACTGATTGTGAGAGCAACTAAGTATATCACCTTTTTGTTCACTAAACATAAAGCACGTTAGATTTTCCATATTGACTTTCTCCGTCAAGAAATCATGAAGAGGCATGAAGGGAATAACAAGAAAGGGGTTGAATGCTTTTGCTTTTGCTGTGCTTCTAAATAAACATCTTTGAATTATATTAAACTGGGAACATTCAGGTGAGGGATAAAGTATGTGCTGTAAAACCTCATAAAGAATCCAAAGAGAAGAGAGAACTCCAAACAGCTTTATAAACCTGTGATGCTTAGTCACAGAAGGTAGGCATCTAGCCTACAATAGCTAACATTACCGAAATGAACCATATGAACACAGAGCATCAAGATACCATTGTTGTTGTTTAGTCACTAAGTTATATCTGACTCTTTGCAACCCCATGGACTATAGCCCATGGGATTTCCCAGGCAAGAATACTGGAGTGGTTTGCCATTTCCTTCTCCAAGGGATCTTCCTCACCCAGAGATCGAATTCACATCTTGCGTCTCCTGCGTTGGCAGATGGATTCTTTACCAGTGAGCCACCAATGGATTCTTTACCAGGGGAGCCCACAGGTACCATCACCACAGCTCAAATGCAGGACTGTCATCATCTTTTTTTCTCTGAATGCCCTTTTTCCATTTGTATTTGCTTTCTATTTCTGCACAACAAATCATAACAAATTTATCAGCTAAAAGCAACATGAATGTCTTATCTCACAGTTTCTGTTGGTCAGGAATCCAGGAATGGCATATAGCTGTAATCTTTGCTCAGGGTCTCACTAGGGTGAAATCAGTGTCAACAAGGCTACAGTTCTCACCTACAGAACAGTATCCTCTTCTAGACTCATTAGTTGGCAGAATTCATTTCCTTATAGTTGTAGGGCTGAGGTCCCTAATTTCCTGATTGCTGTTAGCTAGGGACCATTCCCAGCTCCTTGTGAGACCACCCCTGTTCCTCACCACATGACCACCATTGGCACTTCACAACATAGATGTTTACTTTCTTCCAAGCCATTCAGAGCACTTCTCTCTGACTCCCTACTTTTTAGCCAAAGAAAACACTCTGCTTTCACTAGGCTCACATGATTAGGTCAGGCTTATTCAGGATAGTCTTGCTTTTGCCATATAACATAACATAATCATGAGTGTGATGTCCCATAACACAGGCTCCCCCACATTCAGAGGGGAGAGGGCTATCCAGGCATGTCTCTCTTAATTGTGTTTTACACCTCAGATACTTTTTTTTTTTTAACAAATTGAGGATTTGTGGCCATCCTGAGTTGACCAAGTCTATGGGCACCATTTTTCCAACAGCATTTGCTCACTTTTTCCTCTGTGTCACATTTTGGTAATTCTCACAGTATTTCAAACCATTGCATTATTATTTTATTTTTTATGGTATCTGTGATCAGTGATCTCCAATGTTACTGCTATCATAGTTTGGGGGCACCACGAACCACACTCATTTAATATGGCAAACTTAATTGATAGATGTATGTTCTGACTGCTTCACAGACTGCCCATTCCTTCATCTCTCTCCCTCTCCTCGGGCCTGACTCCTCCCGAAGACACAGTAAAATTGAAATTAAATTAAATGACTCTACAATAGCCTCTATGTGCTCAAGTAAAAAAAAAAAAGTCCCACATCTCTTACTTTAAATCAAAAGCTAGTTCCTCAATGTGACAGCACCCTTGTAATGTCGGAGTTTGGAGGTGGTGCGGGGCTTCTGTTCCAGGGTATGAAGAAACACCAAGTCACCTTGCCTGGACAGGAGGAACCCTGGAACATCCAGAACCTCCTTACCTGGGTCAAGAAGAATTTGCTAAAAGAGAAGCCAGAGTTGTTCATCCCAGGAGACAGCCTGCAGCCAGGAATTCTAGTGCTGATGAACAATACCAACTGGGAACCACTGGGTGAACTGGACTACCAGTTTCAGGATCAAGACAGTGCCCTCTTCAAGACAAAGAGGGGAGGAGGTGCCCCTCAGCCTGTCAGGAGTGTTGGTCTGTGCGGCCAGATGACCCAGCAGCCTTCCACTCCTTGTGTCTCAGTCTAGATACTGAGCGACTGCTGACAAGGCACTCCTATTCCCAGACCACAGTGCGTTTCTGGGGAAGATGAAAAAATTTCAATAGCTGATGGCAGGCCCCTCCCTTCTGAAAGGTAGGCAGTGTCTCCACCTCAATTTCCCCAGCAGAGGATTCTGCCATCTCCCCAGTGATATCATTATGGAACCTCAGTTGGGGGTTCCCTATTCAGTGCTGACACGCACCTCCCCACACACACACATAGCAGTTGCTCTTCCAACCACACCCCTCCTCCTGTTTCCCCATCCACAGCCCTTAACCTGACCTGCCTCCCCTCACACAGGCCACCAGATGGACTCCTGAGACCCTCCCCACCTCCAGCTAAAGGCTGTCTACACTCAGCTCATTCTGCCAGTAGAGGGAAGGAGGGTGTACACTAGACCTTGGTCTGGCAGAGACCTGAGGTGCTGGTGAGGGGTCAGTTTCCTCTTCAGTTTCCTCTTCAACAACTAACTTTTTAAAATTTATTTATTTTAATTGGAGGATAATTACTTTACAACATTGCAGTGGTTTTGCCATACATCAACATAAACCAGCCACAGGTGCACATGTGTCCCCCATTCTGAAACCCCCTCCCACCTCCTTCCCTACCCCAGCCCTCTGGGTTCTCCCAGAGTTCTGACTTTGAGTGCCCTGCTTCGTGCATTGAACTTGCACTGGTCATCTATTTCACATATGGTAATATGCATGTTTCAATGCTATTCTCTCAAATCATCCCACCCTCGCATTCTACCACAGAGTCCTTTACATCTGTGTTTCTTTTGCTGCCTTGCATATAGGATCATTGTTACCATTTTTCTAAATTCCATATATATGCATTAATATTCTGTATTGGTGTTTCTCTTTCTGGCTTACTTCACTCAGTATAATAGGCTCCAGTTTCATCCACCTCATTAGAACTGACTCAAATGCATTCTTTTTTATAGCTTAGTAATATTCCATTTGTGTATATGTACCACAACTTCCTTATCCATTCATCTGCCAATGGACATTTAGGTTACTTCCATGTCCTGGGTATTGTAAACAGTGCTGCAATGAACATTGGGGTACATGTGTCTCTTTCAATTCTGTTTTCCTCAATGTGTATGCCCAGTAGTGGGATTGCTGGGTCATATGGCAGTTCTATTTCCAGTTTTTTAAGGAATCTCAACACTGTTCTCCATAGTGGCTGTACCAGTTTGTATTCCCACCAACAGTATAAGAGGTTTCCATTTTTCTACACCCTCTCCAGTATTCATTGTTTGTAGACATTTTGATGGTAGCCATTCTGACTGGTGTGAGATGATACCTCATTTGGTTTTGATTTGCATTTCTCTGATAGTGGATGATGTTGAGCATCTTTTCATGTTTTTATTAGTCATCTGTATGTCTTCTTTGGAGAAATTTCTGTTTAGTTCTTTGGACCACTTTTTGATTGGGTTGTTCATTTTTCTGGTACTGAGCTGCATGAGCTGCTCGTATATTTTGGAGATTAACTCTTCGTCAATTGTTTCATTTTACATATGATGTTAGAAAGTGTTCTAGTTTCATTCTTTTATATCTGGTTGACCAGTTTCCCCAGCAGCATTTGTTAAAGTGATCATCTTTTCTCCACTGTATATTTTTGCTTCCTTTGTCAAAGATAAGGTATCCATAGGTGCGTGGATTTATCTCTGGGCTTTCTATTTTGTTCCATTGATCTATATTTCTGTCTTTATGCCAATATCATACTGTCTTGATGACTGTAGCTTTGTAGTATAGTCTGAAGTCAGGAAGGTTGATTCCTCCAGTTCCATTCTTTTTTCTCAAGATTTCTTTGGCTAGTCAAGGATTTTTGTGTTTCCCTACAAATTGTGAAATTATTTGTTCTAGTTCTGTGAAAAATACCGTTGGTAGCATGACAGGGATTGCATTGAATCTATAGATAACTTTGGGTAGTATACTCATTTTCACTATATTTATTTTTCCAATCCACAAACATGGTATATATCTCATCCATTTGTTTGATCTTTGATTTCTTTCATCAGCGTTTTATAGTTTTCTATACAGGCGTCTTTTCAACAACTAAATTTTTATAATATCTGAAAACTGGGGAAACTTTTTTTTAACAATGGTAAAAGATGTTTATCAATTTTCACAATCAATACTCAGACAAAAAAGATAATTACAATTGCAAGCCATAATGGAAACATGATTAACCTAACAATACAAAATAATTACATAAAATTCAGGAGGTCAAGCAGAGTAATGTGGTAAGTGGAAGTGCATACATGCACGTTTTCATCTGCCCAGCCAGTCTGTGTGTTTTGGTTCATGCATTTAATTCGTTTACATGTAAGGTAATTATTGATGTGTATTATCCTATTACCATTTTCTTAATTGTTTTGGGTTTATTTTCTCTAGGTCTTTTCCTTAAAATTGGGGAGACTCTTGATGGCACAAATGTATAATTTATCTCCTCTCCCACCTCCTGCAGGAAGCAGGATGAGGGCAGGCAGCACCTGGTAAGAAGGATGGCTTGGCCCTCCTCCCTCCATCCCTTCTGGAAGTCTTGGGGCCTCAGTGGCTGCAAGAGCTGGCCTTGGGCAAATAAAAGACTTGGATCTTTATTGGCAAAAAAAAAAAAAATCAAAAGCTACAAAAGATTAAGCTTAGTGAGGCAGGCAGATCAAAAGCTGAGACAGGTAGAAAGCTAGGTCTCTCATGCCAAACAGCCAACTTGTGAAGGCAAAGGAACAGTTAGTTCTCGAAGGAAATTAAAATTTTTAATTTAATTTTACTCCAGTGAACTCATGAATGATAAGAAAGCAAAATAGCCTTCTGCTGATATGGAGAAAGTTTCAAAAGTCTGGATAGATCAAACCAGTCATAACATTCCCTTAAGCTTAAGATGAAACTAGTTCAAAGTTCAAATTCCCTCCAGTTCTCTCTCCAGACTGATAGAGGTTAGGAGACTGCAGAAGAAAACTCTGAAGCTAACAGTTTGGTTCATGGGGTTTAAGGAAGGAAGCTGTCTCCGTAACACAAAAGTGTAGGGTGAAGCAGCAAAGGCTGGTGTAGAAACTGCAGCAAGTTATCCAGATCTAGCTAAGATAATTTATGAAGGTGACTAGACTAAACAACAGATTTTCAATGCAGATGGAATAGCCTTCTATTGGAAGAAGATGCCATCTAGGACTTTCATAGTTAGAGAGGAAAAGTCAGTGCCTGACTGCAAAGCTTCAAAAGACAATCTGACTCCCTGATTAGAGGTCAGTGGAGCTCACAACTCTGAGCTGAAGCCAGTGCTCATTTACCATTCCAAAAATCCTCGGGCCCTTAACAATTGTACTGAATCTACTCTGCCTGTGCTCGATAAATGAACAACAAAGACTGGATGACAGCACATCTGTTTGCAACATGGTTTACTGAATATTTTAAGCCCACTGTTGAAACCTGCTTCTCAGAAAAAATGATTTCTTTAAAAATATTACTGCTCATTGACAATGCACTTGGCCCCAAGAACTGTAATGGAGATATACAGTGAGATTAATGTTGTTTTCATGCCTGTTAACACAACATCCATTCTACAGCCCATAAATCAAGAAGTAATTTCCATGTACAAGTCTTATTATTTAAGAAATATATTTCATAAGACTATAGCTGCCATAGACAGTGATTCCTCTGATGGATCTGAGCCAAGTCAATTAAAAACCTTCTGGAAATATTCACCATAGTAGATGCCATTAAAATATACATGATTCATGAGAAAAGGTGCAAATATCAACATTAGGAGTCTGGAAGAAGTTGATTTCTCATAGACAATTTTGATTCAAGACTTCATTGGAGGAAGTAGCTGTAGATGTGCTGAAAATAGCAAGAGAACTGGAATTAGGAGTGACTGAAGATGTGTCTGAACTGCTGCAATCTCAGGATTAAATTTTAATGGGTGAGGAGTTGCCTCTTTAAGACGAACAAAGGAAGTCGTTTCTTGAGATGGAATCTATTTCTGGTGAAGATGCTCTGAAGATTATTAAATGACAATGAAGGATTTAGACTATGGCATAAACTTAGTTGATAAAGTAGCACAAGGGTTTGACAGGATTGACTCCCAATTTTGAAAGAATTTCTTCTATGGGTAAAATGTTTATTGAATAGCACTGCATGCTACAGAGAAATCATTCATGAAAGAAAGCATCAATCAATGCAGAAAATTTCATTGTTTTGTTATTTTAAGATGTCATTTTGAATCACTCTGTTGTGTGACTGAAATTAATATAATTTGGTAAATAAAACTATACCTCAATTAAAAAAAAAAAAAAAGAAATTGTCACAGCACCCCCCAACCCCAGCAACCTTCGGCTACAACCACCCTAATCAGTCAGCAACCATTAACACTGAGGCAAGACTCTCCACCAGCAAAAAGATTATAACTCACTGAAGTTTCAGAAGATGGCTAGCACTGTTAAGCAATAAAGCATTAATAGTTTGTATTAAGGTATGTACAGTGCATTTTAGACATAATGCTATTTCACACCTAACAGACCAAAGTATAGGGCTTCCCAGATGGCGCAGCGGTATAGATGCTGCCTGCCAATGCACGAGCCACAGGAGACACAGGTTCAATTCCTGGGTCAGGAAGATCCCCTGGAGTAGGAAATGGCAACCCACTCTGGCATTCTTGCCTAGAAAATTCCATGGATGGAGGAGTCAGGCAGGCTACAGTCCATGGAGTCACAAAGAGTCGGACAAGAGTGAGTGACTGAGTATCCATGCACTGCTCTTTCTAGGATCTTTTTTCAAGATGAAAGTAAAATATATACATAACCCTTGCACAGAAAAATCAAAAAAATCATGTGACTCACTTTATTGCAGTGTTTACTTTATTATGGTGGTCTGACCCCGAATCTGCAATACTTGAGAGTATGACTGTACCAAAGAAATTATCTCACTGTCAAGAAAGTTCTATGACCCACAACAGATTTTCCAACCTGGAGATCTAGGAAAGGGACTGAGAACCCCCAGAGAATTTGACTTTGGAGGGCAGTGGGATTTGATTACAGAACTTGCACAGGACTAGGGAAACAGATTCTCACAGGGCACAATCAAAACCTTGTGTGCACCAGGACATAGGAGAAAGGAGCAGTGACCCCACAAGAGACTGAGTCAGACTTGTCTGTGAGCGTCCAGGAGTCTCCAGTGGAGGCATAGGTCGGCAGTACTCTGCTGCAGGGTCAGGGCACTGAGTGCAGCTGCATGGACAGGAACTTTTGAAGGAGGTTTCCATTATCTTCATTACCTCCACCATAGTTTGGTCTCTGGTCAGACAATAGGGAGAGAACACAGCCCTGCCCATCAACAGAAAATTGGATTAAAGAGTTACTGAGCATGACCCTGCCCATCAGAATAAG